GCACTCTACCCAGGGGGATAGCTTGAGGCTCCGTCTCAAAAAAAAAAAAAGAAAGAAAAGGGAACCATTAGCTGCATAATACACCCTGTGTCTTTTCTTTTCATAATGAAGTATATGGCATTGAGAATGAAAGCACTTATTGTAGTAAAAAAACAAAGTGTGTTAAGTGAAAAAAGCATACTAAAGCAGACTGCAAAATGGCACCTATGTGGTAATTAAATTTGAACAAGTAGCATTAAAAAAAGAGGCTGCAAAGAACTATTAATAGCTTTATTATGCTCATGAAAACCAGCATGGTAGGAAGCTGCACTGAGGAACTGAAAAATATTTAGGAAAGTAGGGTTAAAATACTAGTTCCTTGGCCAGCGCCATAACCACTGTGCTATTGGCACTGAGTCAAACATTAATTATATTTTGATGTGGGTACCAAGTAGAATTTATTTAAAAAGAAAAAAGAAAGAACTTTCCAAGTCATGCATTCAGTTTATTATGTCTGTACCACAGTGGCATTTGAGTAGCAGGAGTCAAAAACTTCTAGCTATAAAAAATACATAAGGGTGGCACCTGTGGCTCAAAGGGGTAGGGCGCTGGCTCCATATCCCAAAGGTCGCAGGTTCAAACCCCGCCCCAGCCAAGAAAAAAAAATACATAAAGGAATTGGATCCTTGGACAGAAGAACAAAAATACCTAATATACAGTACTCTATATCAAATCAAAATTAATTTATAATTGATTGGAGGTAAAATATAAAAGAAAAAATTAACTGTAAGCCTCTTGGTAAAATTACAGGAACGATGATTCCAAAAAAATTTCTAAAGGTTGGGCACAGTGGCTCATGCCTGTAATCCTAGCATTCTGGAAGGCCAACGTGGGTGGAATCACCTGAGCTCAGGAGTTTGAGACTACCCTGGACAAGAGTGAGATCCCCATCTCTGCTAAAAAATAGAAAAAAGCTAGCTGGGTGTAGTGGCACCTGTAATCCCAGCTACTCAGGAGGCTGAGGCAAGAGGATTGCTTAAGACCAAGAGTTTGAGGTTGCCGTAAGCTATGACGATTCCCTAGCACTCTTCCCATGGTGACAGAGTGAGACACTTGCTTCAAAAAAAAAAAAAATTCTTGAATGAACAATGGATGCTTTTGGAATCACATTACCCATTGTTACTAATTTAAAATAAGTAAAATGTTGATAAGAATTTATTTCTTGGCTCGGCGCCTGTGGCTCAAGTGGCTAAGGCGCCAGCCACATACACCTAAGGTGGCGGGTTCGAATCCAGCCCGGGCCCGCCAAACAACAATAATGGCTGCAACCAAAAAACAGCCGAGCATTGTGGGGGGTGCCTGTGGTCCCAGCTACTTGCGAGGTCCCAGGCTGAGGCAGGAGACTCGCTTGAG